TGATGTTGGAGCCAAACCCCCCCCTGGAAAAAAAAAAAAAACCATGGCCTTAAACCCCCCCCCCCCCCCCCCTTGCGCTCTGCCCTGCTAGATCCCCACATCTCTACCAACCACAGCCCGGCTCTTCTGCTGGAAAAGGAGAGTCCGCACCCGGCAAGATCAGACCTCGTTCTTTGTGCATCCACCGATTGCACCGGTAATGATTGTAGCAGGACTGAGATGGGCCCTCCTGCTAATGCATCTGCAGGACCTGAGTCTATGGACACCAGCCCTGCAGGTCCGCACCAATGATGTCTGTGAGGTGTCAGATCTTGGCCAGAAGAATGAACTTCTTGCTACGGTCTTTTAAAGCTCTGGTTACCTCCACCTGGAGCCTACTCCCCTGCTGTCACCAGTCTCAGATCTAAAACCCAAATGGCCTGTTGCACCACGAGCTTTGTGCAGCAGAGACTACAGCAGTCAACAGCGCTCTGGATGTGCAAAGTGCTCTTTGGAGGCCGAGTTCCTGGAGGCGCAGGATTTAATCTCCTTCTCTTCACCTTTGGAAAGCGATGGGCATTATCCCACCTGCATTTCAAATGCAGAAGGAACTTGGCTGTGGTTTTCAGCAGTTACCCTGGGACTCTTTTAGTATGTGCTAAAAACAAGGACCAGGTTTATCCTCCTACTGCCTCTTTGGCTATTAGGATGTGATCAAAGCACTTATCTGGCAAGGGACGGACCAGCCACACAACTTGGACACTTCATCTGTTTGAAACAGGAAGGGAAAAAACAAAGCGCAATCAGCTTTTGTTCCCCAAGGACGCACTGTTCCAAAGTGCCTGACCCAAAGTCTATGTTGCAGCTCCTGGAAAGTCCTGTTAACTTCAGCAGGTTCGAGTAAGACCCGAAGAGACTTATTAGCATGCAGAGAAAGGCCCCAATCTTGCAACTGGACCCATGCCAGCAACCCTAGGTGGAGATCTGGCTGCAAGGGCCCGCTCAGCTTTACATCACTCACAAGAAGAGGCTACAAATGCTTTTCATGCACTTGAATAGGTTATCCTAGGGCTGCAAACAGACATCACATTTGTCTCAGGATACACCATTTTGTTCTGGGGCAAGTGCAGTCATTCAGATGTGCATGTGTGTTGTCCCAGGATAAATCCTAAAAAGGTTCCTGGGATAGGAAATGCTAACGATTTATCCTGGGACATTGTAAAGTGGCATCTGAATGGCTGTCCTGGGATAGCATCACTGAATCAGTGGTAGGAAAGCACCAGTGCATTCAGCCACTCATTAAACCTTAGTGATGTGTGCACATGCCAATCCTGGGATATTTCTGTTCTGGGACAACTTGTCCAGGAACCAATGCACTGTCTGTTCCTACCTAGTAGAGACATCATAATACTGGTTTTAAAGTTAGTCTCCCTCCACTGGAATCAAACCAGCCCAATTGCAGAGCCTGCTTCCCACACATCAAACACTGGAGAGATGAACTGAAAGGCTTTTTACCTCTCAGGACGTATGTGGAGGCTTCTGCACTTCTGTTACAGCAGCTGACAACAGGCCAGAGTCCAATCCCAGTTACTCTGAAGTAAACCGGACAAACTCCATTGAAGGCAATGGAAAATCTCTGAACGTATTCGGTCAAAATCCAGCCCATCTCCCACGCCCCAAGGAGTACTGGCTGCTCCTGGGTGGTAGCAAGGCAACGGGCTCAGCAGAACTACAGGGCCTTTGTTTCCGATTCTGGCGAGTACATAAAAAAAATGGGATTTTCCACTCTTATTTTAAAAGTTAGTTATTTAAGTGCGAGTTTCACTCTGTTAAGGACCAGGCTTTGATCCTTTACTTGCAATATTGATGCATCCTACTAAGGCAACATTGAAATCACTTGGGAAGTTCTGTCTTTATTATGGGAATGCTGCTTAAATCTGGGGGGCCAAATACAGAGCCGGATCTTCTTTTCACCTCGAGTTTCACTCTTGATTTACACCTGAGTGGACGATCACTTCCCCTACCCCAAATGGTCCAGGCTTGGAAATATTTCTTTTCCCAATAAAATGAGCTTCTCAGTTCATCTTGCCCTTGGTCAAGTCATAAAAAAAAAAAAATCACATACACTGGTAGAAGCATTTCCTTTGGGGGTTATTAAAGGCACGAGAATTCATAAACACAGACGCCTTTCGCCATTTATGGCTGATGTTTAACATTTTTGCATTTCACTCTGCTTGGACAATTAAACAGAGGTCTGTCAGGTTCATGCTTTGCACCATTTCAGTCAGGCTGTGAAGTTTGAACGGTCAGAAAACAGGGCAGGAAGAACACTGAATGTTTAAATCTAGCCAAAAGATTTCTTCTGATATTACTGTTTGTAAAACAAAGTGCGTGTGTGAATATATATGTTAAAAAAAAATACATTTGGTGCCTAAACTGCCTGCCACTTGCTTCCTATTAGACACAGGAATTTATGTCAGGACGCTGAATCCCAGAGTTTGGCTTAGCAAGGCATGGACTCAATCCCAATAATGGAAAACACAGCGCACCTCCCAATAATTTATTACATTGGCTCTTCTGCCTCTTGTGCTACTGCACTTCCTCTCCCTTCCTTGCTTTGCAAGGACACCCCCTTTCTATCATTACATGTACAGGAGCAGCCAGGGGAGAGGGCAGGCGGTAGCAAGCAGAAGGATTTGGTTCGTCTGGCACATGTCAGGCAATACAGGTAGCAGTACGCATGGTTATGTATCCATAAGCAGCAAAACATAGATCCCCCCGCCCTCCACAACCCTTCCACTTTCATTAACTGAGACGCAGCCACATTCCTCGGTTTTGTCTGGGCGGGTTTTTTGGTTTGTCAGTACTCATTTGGCAGCATTCGACACAAAGGTCTCTACAAAAATAAATGCCCGGGGCTTCGTTACAGGGAAGATGCCCACAGTGCAAGAAATGCAAGAAATGCCCTTGTTCATTTTAAGGCGAGCTCGTACGACTTGTCGGATTCATTCCAAGACTGTGATTGTCACAAGAACAAGCAAATGGGGCCACGCATCGTCATCTCTCTGCAAGGCACAGGACAGATCTCAACCGGACCGCAAATCTGCCCTGCGGCTGTGAAAGTGGGATGCACATGACCAAGGAGTATACAGCTAGGGCAGTTTTGCTCATTTAAAACCCCTTAATGAATGGGTTTAGATAAGAAGGCAAATACTATATAGAAGAGCTTTGGCAAGAATCAGCTTGCCCAGCATTTCCTATCAGCGCAAGAATGTGGTACTTGGTTTCTTAGGCAGGAAAGAGCTAGTTAAGCTGGTAATTTTTGCTGTAGCAACAGGACCATTTGGGTCCGTCATTTAAGGCTTGGGGGTGGCTCTAAGACCCTGGTGCCCGCGGGGACTGGATGCGGTTCCTCTGCATGTTTTACGGTTGGCACTCCCTACAACCTGGTATTCACTCCTCCGTTCAACCCCCCCGTCCCATCACCGCGGTGGCTCCCCCATCCCGTTAACGTGTGCCGTACAAGGCAGGTGCAGGCGGGTTCGGATGGCCTACCGTGCCTCCACGCGGCAGCAGAGCATCACCACGAAAAGCCGTAACCACTAATTGCTCTCGCTACCGCAGAGACGGTACCCCCAGCCCGGCCAATGGGCAGGTCAGACAAACAGGACTAGGCGATGCTGTCTGCATACAGGCGAGCAGGAAAATAACAATCCTTCTTAAAAACCAAGTCTCTCAGGTCCAGCCACTGGCAGCTGCAGCCGACTGAGTCCAATCACCTCCACGCCTCCCTGCTCTGAGTCCTTCACCGTTCCCTAGATATGCCCTGCTCTGGTACAGGCAGCGT